AGGAGAAAGTGGCGGGCAGAGGTGTTCAGTTACTGTTGCTACTCAAGTATTATCCCTATGCTTGTTGTCATGGCAACCCAAAGTAACAAAAGGAGGGGCAGCAGCATCTTGCTAAATCCGGCAGGGCTTCTCTGCTAGTTAGACAGCCACCCACAAGCTCAACAGCAGAAGACAGGAAAAAAAGGCAAGACTACAACTTCTTCCACAGCATACTTCCTTTCCGTACATAATCCCTGAAAACACAACCTGTTTGCTCGACCCGTTGAAGGCCAAGATCTCAAACCCTGGGCTAGCTTAGCCAGTAAACCCAGCCAGTGAGGTTAGCTCACGGCTTGGCTTGGAAGCCAGGGGTGGGCTTCAAAAACTTCAGCAGGGGGCTCTCTGCCCTAATGACTGGGTGGGTGGGCGGGCGTGGCTGGGTGGTCATGTGACTGGGTGGACCTGGCTGGGTGGTCATGTGACTGGGTGGGTGTGGCCAACTCGGATGTCGCTTCTTTGCCCTAATGACCTAAAAAAAAAGATAATATACCAAAAAGTTGTTTATTATTTTGTACATTTAATTCAATACTTAAATAAAAGACTGGGTGAAACCAGGCTTAATAGCAGTGACTGTGAGAGGGATCTTGGAGTCTTAGTGGAGTTTCTGGTGAGTTACGTGATTCTTATTATTTGGGAATTAATCCCCTCGGAGGCTAGTAGCTAGGTTACCTGATGTTCTCCATGGCTTTCCCTTGCAAACGCTGAGTGGATTGTTCATCTCGCTTGCAACACTGTTACGAGGTGTGAAATGCTCTTGGCTGAATGCCCAGAAGTTCAGTTAAGCCTATTAAGAGCTTTCCCTTGCTGCTTGTCTTTCTGAGGTTATTGGGGGCTCTCCGAGCCCCGCAGAGTCTTAGCTAGGGGCTCTCCTGCGCCCCTGCGAGCCCCCAGCAGCCCACACCTGCTTGGAACACATGAGAAAATATTGTGCCTTGGAAACCAGGGTTTCATCAAATAGCCCATGAGGAGTGAATTGGTCAGGTGGTAGCTTGAAAGGAGATGTCCAGGGTGAATTTTGTCCAGAAAAGGTTGGAGTGGAAATTTGAGGTTTTCTACTTCTGGGAGAACATGATTAGATTTGGCTTGGACCTGGGTATCCTTGTTCTGTTTTTTTTCAGGATTTACATTTGGATACTGGAACAAAAACAGTATTACAGAGGCTGCGGTGTTTCTCAGCCTTGGCAGCTCCATGGACTTCAACTCCCAGAATTCCCTAGCCAGCATGTCCACCCATCTTAAAATTGCCAAGCTTGAGGAAAACACCTGCTTAAACATTGCACCTTCTTGACTTTGAGAAATCCTGTGGCTTTTGACAGGACGCGGTGGCTCAGTGGCCAAGACGCTGAGTTTGTCGATCAGAAAGGTCGGCAGTTCGGCGGTTCAAATCCCTAGTGCCACATAACGGAGTGAACTCCCGTTACTTGTCCCAGCTTCTGGCAACCTAGCAGTTTGAAAGAAGGTAAAAATGCAAGTAGAATATTAGGACCATTTTGGTGGGAAGGCAACAGCGTTCCGTGCACCATCGGTGTTTAGTCATGCTGGCCATATTACCACGGAGACGTCTTCGGACAGCGCTGGCTCTTCGGCTTTGTAACAGAGATGAGCACCGCCCCCTAGAGCCAGAAACAACTAGCACGTATGTGCGAGGGGAACCTTTACCTTATTTCCAAGAAAGACCCTGGAAGGTGTCTGAGAAGGATTCAATGGCGAATGTCAGTAACCATTACAGATCTGATGCCTTTGGGCACCAAGATAGAACAAAAACTGTTTTGGGCCCTGGTGGTGTTATCGTTCATTAGATCCTTGATTAGACTGGTGGACCTTTTTAATTGGTTTTAGGTGGACCTCATGTAAAACAGGACAACCCCCAGAAATCTCCAACCCACCTGGATGCCTCAGGCCTCTTAACGCCACACTTTTGCTCATTGTAACCTATGACTATTATTAAGTATTGTACCTTATGATTCTGACTCCTGACAAATGTATCTTTTCTTTTTATGTACACTGAGAGCATTTGCACCAAGACAAATTCCTGGTGTGTCCAATCACACTTGGCCAAGACAGAATTCTATTCGATTCTTTCTGCTAGAGGTGTCCAACTTTGTCAGTTTTAAGACTGGTGGACTTCAACTCCCAGATGTCTCTGGGGATTCTCAGTCATCCAGGTCATGGTTGACCCAAAGGTGCTTTACCAAGAGGCAACTGGACTTTCTGGTTTCCCTTTGAAGGCCTTTCGCTCCTCGTCCAAGGAAGCTTCTTCCGCTCTAAATAGCTGGATAAGATAAAGAAGCAAAACGTCTTCAAAGAAAAACAAGACAGTCCAGTTGCCTCTTGGAAAAACATCTTTGGTTCAGTTCCCAAAATGGCTGAGGCATTCTGGGAGTTGAAGTCCACAAGTCTTAAAGTTTGATAAGGTGGAACAGCCTGTTTTATGCCAAAGGAGAGTAACTGTTTTCGGGAGAATTACTCCATACAAGTCACAAAGGGGGGGTGTTGGTTTCAAGGGGATCTTCATGGAAACATCTGCAAGAGACAGACTCCTTTGCTGTGACTGGAGGCTCCGCATAGAGTGGCAGCCATCCTGAGCTTCTCTGTAGGACTCAGTTTTGTTCCAGATGCCTGAGTGGATGGCACAGGGGGATGGGAGATCACCAGGAGTGGCAAGTTGCAAAAGGCCATGGCAAACATCCTTGATCCTATTGCTCAAGCTGCCTATAGGGCAGGGAAGGGTTTTCAAACTTGACAGCTTTAAGACTTGGGGACTTCAACTTGCAGAATTCCTCCTGTAGGCATGTTAGCTCAGGAATTCTGGGAGTTGAAGTCCACAAGTCTTAAACTTTGACAAGTTTGAAGACCTTTGCTCTAAGGCAGTGATCACCAACCCGTGGGCCAGGGACCACTGGTGGTCCACAAGAAAATTTTGGTGGTCCAGAGAAATGTCACCCCCAAAGCAATTAACCCACGCTGCACGGGAAAACAAGGCTACGCCGTTCACATGGCCCGCGGGAACACAAGGCTTGCGTCGCTTGTATTGTGAACAAGACGAGGTAGTGAGGGGAGGGGGGAAAGGGCAGAGGGGGGGAACTTGCCCCATTCGCCCCACGCACCTGGCAGGCCACCTGGCTGCTTCTTTCTGCTTCTGCTTTTGGTTGCATTCATTTTCTCTCTCTCTCTCTTTCTCTCTCTCTCCCTCCCTCCCTCCTTCTCCTTCCCTCCCTCCCTCCCTGCCTCCCCAGACTTTGGGGGGCATTTTCCCAGGGTCTCTGGTCCACGGGATTTAAAATTATGAGTTTGGTGGTCCCAGAGGTCCAAAAGGTAGGCGACCCCTGCTTTAAGGGGTGCCAGGAACTAACATTCAGAAATCGTAGGCACTCCAATCACTGGAGATTTTGGAAGAACAGACTGGACAGTAACTTGTCTGAAATAGTATAGGTTCCAGCTCATTCTATTCTATATATGTTTCCCTCTCTCCCCCCCCCTCGCCCCCCGCCCCCGCCCTTTGACCTCCTTTCTCCGGATCCCAAATCCCGCTGCTTTCCTCCAGAACCACCGGGCCCGCCCTCCCTCCCTTCCCTCGGGATCCAAAGCCGGGTGGGGTGCGCGCTCTCTTTGCTCCCGCGGGGGATACCGACTTTCGCGGGGCTGCGCGCTTGGGCGGCTCTTGCAGCGCTTCTCGTCCGCCGGGGCTTCCAGAAAGGCGGCGGCGGGGGGGGGGGGGGGACTTTTCCCGCCGCGAGAACCGCGAAGAAAAAAAGGCAACTGCCGAGCCCGGCCCTCTGAAGGGCCGCTGGCTGGCTGGCTGCGCAACCGCTCCCTTCCTTTCCTTAGCTGCAACCCCGGGCCGCGCAGAGAGCGAGAGGTTTGTCTCAGCCCGAGCGCTGCTGGAAGCGCTTTCAACCCACGGTGGCCCCGGCTGGGTGCGGGAGGCGGCCCCGCGGGGCTTGCCTGGCTCTGGACGTTGCTCCTTGGATGGGAGACCACCGTGAAATGCCCGAGGGAGGTTAGGCTGGGAAGCCGCAAAAGGACTTCCAAGGCACATCCTAGAGGATTTAACCAGAGCCGTTCTCAACAGCTGAAGAGTCGCCCAGCGTCTTCAGTCCCGGAGCGAGAGCCAAGTTCGAGTCTCAGCTGCAGAACCTGGGGGGGGGGGGGGGGGGGGGGGGGGGTTAAGAAAAGGGGGGGGGGGGGGGGGGGGGAGGGGGGATTTAACGAAAGGCTGGGCTGTCCTGGAACGGAAAGAGGCGTCACAAGGTGATCGGGGACTTCGGGAAACCAGGAGCCGGCGGCAGGCTTGGCTATGGTTCCCCTGCTGAGCAGGGACCGGCTCCCCCTGGGGTCTCAAGGGATTTTCCAAACACCGATTGGGTGTTGACCAGGGCGGGCGGGCTGATCTGGTGTGAAAGGGGAGGAAGAAGGGAAAGGATGGCAGGGATGAGCAGGGGATGGAAATGAAGGCTGGGGGACAGGTTATGGCCAAAGGTGTGGAAGTGGTAGTTGTGATAATGTGGCTGAAACTTGGATAGCTGGAGTAGAATAAGGAATGGAATGGAATGGAATAAGAGTAGAGTAGAGTAGAGTAGAGTAGAGTAGAGTAGAGTAGAATAGAATAGAATAGAATAGAATAGAATAGAATAGAATAGAATAGAATAG